GGACACGACTGAGTGACTAAGCACAGAGGCTAGTAGATGGGAAATGGTGGGACATCTGCTATGTGGGAAAAAAGCCATCTACAAGGAGAGAATAAGGCTGACGCACAGAAAAAGGCAGAGACCAGGGATGGAAAGATTGAACTGGTGGTGTTCGCATCCTGCCTGTCTCCCCGCCTTTTGCATGATCGAGTGTTCAGCCCTTCCCTGAATCCCATGAGCCAATAGGTCCCCCATTTTGGTTTCTGTTTATTTCCTTATTTGCCTATGCTGGGTGTTTGTTGCCGCCTGGGCTTTTCTCTAGTTGTGATGAGCGGGGCACTCCAGTGGCAGTGCTCAGCGTTCTTATCGCGGCAGCATCTCTTGTTGCTGAGCACAGGCTGTAGGGCGTGCAGGCCCCAGCAGCTGCAGCTGAGGGCTCAGCCGTTGCAGCTCCTGGGATCTACAGCACAGGCTCCATAGTTGCAGTGCCTGGGCTTAGTTCCCAGGCCAGGGATCAAACTCGAGTCTCCTGCTTCGGCAGGCAGATTCTTTTCCACTGAGCCACCAGGGAAGCCGCTCCCCGACGCCCCCACCCTGCCCCCTGCCCATTTTGTTTGCACAAGACCCTTGAAGTATAGACACCAAGCTGGTGCTAACGCCACAGCTCCAGGGACAGGGCTGGAACTAGAAAGATGGATGAGAAATGGACCTGCCCTCTGGCAACCCACAGACCAAGAGACTGGGAGATGCTGACAAGTGACTGGAACACAAGTTTCAAACAGAAATGTTGCTATGAGTACAGAATGCCAAGTAAGTTAAAGTGCAGCCCCACACACCCACTTTTAGCCTTCAAACAGCCGCCTCTTCACTTAGAGCTCTGGCTGGCTTTATTTCCCACAGCAGCCCACTCCTTGTCCCCTCATCACCAAGGCCCCAAATGCCAACAGTAAGAGCTGAATCAAAAGGAAATGCTTCCATTCAATGTCTTATAGTAACCTATCATGGAAAAGAATCTGAGAGAGTATATATGCAAGTAGAATAATATAATTTGAAAAAAAAAATATATATATATATATAAAACTGAATCAGGGCTTCCCAGGTGGCTCAATGGTAAAAAATCCACCTGCAATGCAGGAGACTTCCAGGAGACATGGGGTTGATCCCTGGGTCAGGAAGATCCCCTGGAGGAGGGCATGGCAACCCACTCCAGTATTCTTGCCTGGAGAATTCCAGAGACAGAGAAGCCTGACGGGCTACAGTTCATGGGGTCACAAAAGAGTCAGACAGGACTTCACCAGTAAACAACATAACTGAATCACTTTGCTGTACATCTGAAGCTAACACAACATTGTAAATTAACTATACTTAAATCTTTTTAAAAAGTTAAAAAAAAAAAAAAAGGCAATGCTTTATCCCAGCTTGGGCCTCCAGCCCTGGGGATGACGTGAGGAATGGCCTGGAACAGCTAACTACTGGGACAGAGGCCACTGTTTTCATGTCTCTAATCTCCAGTCTGTCCTTCCCCTGCTCTAGGAATCTCATAATCCAAGGCCAAATTCACGAGTTACAGACATATTTGCCTAGTAAATCTCTACCCTCTCTCCTCCACACAGGCCAACTCAGCAATTAAAGTCCCAATTCCTTCACAAAGGACTCAGCACGGATTGTGTGTCTGACAGATGGGAACAGGTAACAGCTTCATTTAAGCTGGTCCTGGAGTTTCCCCTCGGATGCTCTGTGCAGGGAGGGCTCCCTCAGCAGTAGGTATGATGGAAAAGAGCCCTGGCTTTGCAGTCAGAATTGCTCTGTGACTTGCAAGCTGTTTGATCTCAAGTGACTTATTTCTCTTGGATTTAGTTTCTTTGTATGCATATATCGGAGCTAATAATATCTACCCTTTCATTCATTTAACAACTATTTAAAGTTCCCAGTGAGGCAGCGTGGTGCTGTAGTGGATAGAGCAAGGCCAGTGGATGGGTAGAATGGGCAGAACGGGAGTTGAGTCCTGCTTTTGCAACTGGATTTCACTCAAAAGAGCACAAGATGTAAGAAGAACCATTATTTTAGGCAACCCTAAAAATAAAAAATGCTGCCAAGTTCTGACACAATGATTTCTTATCTCTTGGAATTGTTTAGTTATTTAAAGAGCTCTTTGAGACTGACATAGTGACATAGATTTTTATCATGTATCACTTTTTATATGTATAAAAATGGAAAATAGAAGCAAAATAAATTGGTTAAGGTTGTCAAAGCCTTTGACCAAAGACCACCAGAAACACACCTGTAGTCAAAAAAAGTCAGACTTATTTAACTAGCAGGCAGTTAGGAGAGCTTATCCTGAGAACATCCTGTGTGTGTCCTTAAATGTGGGCTTTTTCCCCTGGTTCTGTGGAGGGATTAGGGAAGTGGGGACTAAGTCTGGATTGAAGGCTGTCAAGAAGCAGGGGCAATTCAGAGACTGGTTATCTTTACAATGCTTACCTAGGAGGCAGGAAGATTCAAACAGGGCTAGATTTGTATCTTCCATAAAGAAGCACCAATTGGGAATTCCCTAGTGGCCTAGTGGTTGATTCTGGGGGCCCGGCTCAATCCCTAGTTGGGGAACATCCCACAAGCCACGTGGTGTGGCAAAAACAAAACAAACCAAAACCAAACCAAAAAAAAAAAAAAAAACCACCACCAATCACTCAGAGAAAGGCCAAGTCATTTTTGTGGTCACAAAGTGGCCCCATGTGAGCATCTAAGCATGTCTCATTCTAAGCACTGATAAATAACAAAATTCAACTGAGTAAATTTGAATATTTAATTGGCTTTATCTAATGACTCAGCATCCCATCTAGGGAACAGAAAAGTGCTCCAAGGAACTGTACAAAAAAGGAAGGGTTTAAAAAAAGGGGGGGGTTTACAAAAGGAAGGAGGGGTGAGTGGGGAAGTTATTAGCAAAGAAAGAACTTTTTCAGTCCAGGTTATCTTCTTTTCAGGGGAAAGGGGACAGAAGAGGTCTTTTATGCAGATTACCTGACTAGTACTGATCAGGAAATTTTAGATTTTCTGTTTATAGAACACATTGCTGGGAAAGAATGAAACTGCAATTAAGACTTGATTTGCTGTCCTGAGGGCAAATGGCTCCATTTTGGGCCTGTTTCTTCCTCTTCTTCTTCTTAAAATAGCAATGGTTTAGGTTCTGCTGGAATCATCACTATCCGAATATCAGAAGGGCCATCTTATACTTTCTTGATAGTCCTAAAACTTCACACTGGTGTCCATTAGAGAAAAAAGTACCCCCACTGCAAAGATGTTAAAATGCAGGGAGAAATGCTCATGCTAGATTTGATGAAATAGGATTGATGCTGATTAACTTGGGCAAGTAATAAAACCCTGCAAGGCTCAACTTCCTGCTAGGTAAAATGGGAACAATACAATCTACCACGTAAGACTTGTGAGGTCTAAGAAATAATGTCTACAAAGTGCCTGGTATAATATTGTGTGTATCACTCAAGGTCCAACCAGGCAAACAGGAACCACTCTAAGTATGTAAGCCAGAAAATCCAGTGCCCCGAATTGGAGACACAATGACAGGGGTGATGGCAGGGCTGAGAAACCCAACAGGGGACAATGAGGCGACCCAAAGATTAGCAAAAACAAGAAGCTGCCCACACTCCTAAGCTGGAGGGACAAATGGAGGGGGTGGAATTAAGGGAGAGTGGGGGAGAGGGTCATCCTTGGGAAGTTGGAACCACGAGGAAGAGAAATAACCTGGCTTTTTCCTGCTTTCTACCTTCCAGTCTCCTGCCTCTGTCTCCGTTTCGCCAAACCCAAGGCTGAATGAAGGCAGCTGTCCTGGAAGCCTGAGAAACTGCACCCTGCAGGGCAATACAGAGCAGAGCAGAAAGGCAAAGAAGGGGTCTGCAGCAAAGAGAGCGAACAACCTTAAGACAGAATTAGGGTAAACAGACTTAGTAATACCTTTATTCTGATCTCCTCTATTCTGATCTGGTACAGTGGCATTTTAAGAGGGATTTTCAGTGTCAGGCATGTCCTCCACTGAATTCTCCCGAGGGCTTCTACAGCAGACGGAGATGCCCATTCTCTGTCGCAGAGGTCAGAGCTCAGCCAGACCGGAGTTATGATGCAGCAGCGTCATGGCAACTGGACTCTGGTCCGGGGCTCTCAAGGGCTTCCGAGTGACCTTAGGGGGGAGGAGCACGATGTCTGGACTCGCGTTTAAAAGGTGGAAATCACAACCCTCGGCCGGTTGACGCGCGCTCAAAACACTCCACTTGGCATCTTCATCCTTGTCCAGAAGGCTCCACAATTTTTTTTTAATAAAGGATGAAACAGTCTAAGAAAACAGATAACGTAGCCAAGGTCTCAGAGCTGGCAAATCTTAAGGAATTCAGTCTCTACTCTTCCCACGCCAAAGCCCTTTCCGCTCCCCTACCGGTTCTTCCCTCGCCTGGGGGCATCTTCTGGCCGAGGAAGGCTAGTTCAGGGAAAGGCTAGAGTCGGGGTTATCAAAACCCTGGGGCGCCTGGTAGCGCTCTACTTGCAGGCAACGTGCCCGATCGGCGTCTCAAATGGCGGGAGACCCGTCAGGCTCGGCTGGCCGGCTCCGGACGCTCCCGGCCGAGAGAAGCTCAGGGTCCTCTCCCGCGAGCCAGCGACCCCCACCTCGGCGCCCCGGGGCAGCCGGAAGCCCGCGGCCCTGCCCGCCCCCGGCGGGTCCCAGGGATTCTAACGGAGCCGCGTGCCCGGGGCGGGGCCACACGCGATTGGCCGCGCGGAGTAGGGGGCGGGCCCGCGGCGGGCCGGCCGGGCGGGCGCCGACAATGAGCCTCCATAAAAGGGAGCGGCGGGGGGCTGGGGCCCCGGATTGAGCCCTTCCCCCCCACCCCGGGGTCCCGACTGTGTAGGTCTCGGGGAGACCCAGACACGCCCGTCCGCAGGCCGGGCCGGCGAGCGGCCGGCGGCGGGGAGGGGGCTGCACGGGGCGCGAAGTGGCAGCCGCCCTCGGCGCCCAGGCCTGCGCGCCCGTCCTCGGCGTCCGGTCACCAAGATCCCACCCCGCCCCACCCCCCCGGCCGCGCCATGGCCCTGAAGGCTGAGGGCGCCGCGCTCGACTGCTTCGAGGTGACGCTCAAATGCGAGGAAGGGGAGGATGACGAAGAGGCCATGGTGGTGGCCGTAATTCCGCGGCCCGAGCCGATGCTCAGAGGTGAGGAGGGGAGGGGATCCCGCTTCCGCGTCACGGTCCGGGCTCGGCGTCCCCTCCTCAGTCGGGGGTCCGGGTACCCCTCCCCCACCTCCAGTCTGGTGCCCAACCGCCTCCACCCGACTCCAGCCTGAGGCCCGGGCGCCCCCTTCCTCCCAGAGTCTGAGGCCCTGGCGCGCTTTTGCTCCACCCCCACACCAGGGTTTGGAATCTCAGGCCTCCCCGAACTCCCCCTCCCCCGCCCCTGCCCGGGGTCTGGAGCCTTCGATCCACGCCCGGCGCGCTCCGGATGTTCCGGTGCCCGAGCGCCCCCTCGCCCGGGCCCAGCTCGACGGCTTCGAGGTGACGCTGGCGGGTACTCCGCCCGAGGAGGCAGAGGCAGACCGAGGGGCCAGGCTGTGTTCTAGGCCGAGGGGCGTCAAGGCCTCCAGGCCGGAGGCAGGGGCCCTTCCCCTCAGGGTTCGGAGCGACTCGGTGGGTGGAGGCAGGCGCCGGTGTAGCCCGCCGAGAGGTGGGTTTTAAGGGCCCTCCAAGCCTAAAGCTTTCCTGCACTTCCCCGCCACCATCCCCAGGCCTTGCACACGCATAAGCCACAGGTGTCAGATTCTGGCGCTAGAGGGGTGAAAGGGATTGCTTACGGCACCCAGTTTTGGAAAATAAATGTTTGCTACAGGCGCCCTCGGCCACTCTAGAGGGAGATGGGCCTCGAGAGGGGATTTGAAGAGCAATGTGTAAGCACTCACTTTCCCTTCCTCCTCCACCGATTTTTCCAGCCCTCAGGATGTTGAGGGCCCTAAGAAAACAAAGGGCCACTTTCGTGGAAGACATACTATTCATGAAAATGCAGATCTTTGCATTCCTGGATACCTCTTCTCTTAGTGGGGACAATACCGAAAAAGCTTGAGAGCAATGCCGTTCATTTAGCTAAAGCAGAACATAATGACGTGTCCCTCCACCGCCTCTTCCTTTTCGGAGGGCTTTAAAATGAGGGAAATAAAACATTTTCCATCCGGAAGAGGTTCTCTCCCTACCTTTGGTACCATTTATTGAGTGCTCAGTGCCAGACTGTCTCAGTTAACCCTCTCAACAACTGCGAGAGCATTCTTCTTCCCCAGAGAAGTGGATTCATGCAACAAGTATTTGGGGGCACCTCTTACATGTCAGGGCTTCACAGGTGGTGCAGTGGTGAAGAACCTGCTTGCCAGTACAGGAGATGCAAGAGATGTGGGTTTGATCATTGGGTTGGGAAGATCCCCTGGAGCAGGAAATGGCAACCCACTCCAGTATTCTTGCCTGGGAAATCCCATGGACAGAGGAGCCTGGCAGGCTGCAGTCCATGGGGTCACAAAGGGTCAGACACAGTTGAGCATGCACACTTGCATGTCAAGCACTGTTTTAGGCTGGGCATGCTAATTAGCGTAAACAAAGTGGAAACCCTGCTCTTCTGGAACTTGTGGGTATATATTAATGACCAGAGATAGATGAATACAGATAAATGTACAGCTTGTCAGATGGTGATGAGTAGTTCAGAGAACACTGAATCAAGATAAGAAGAGTGAGAATGGTTTATTTGGAGTATCAAGTGGTCAGGAAAGTCTTCTTAATACAGTGAATTTCGAACACAGACCAAAGGAAGTGAGGAAGGGAACCCTGTAGATAATTGGAGGTAAGGCATTTTAGGCAGAGAGAACAGCAATTGCAAAGATCCTGAAACAAGCTTCTTGAAAGGTTTGGTTCACGGGGGTAAGAAAAACACAAATTCAAGGTTTTTGGCTTGAGTGACTGGAAGGATGGACTTCTCATTTGCTGAGACAGGAAGACTGAGGGGCAGGCCTGTAGGAGGTTGCAGTTTGAAGAAGACAAGTTTGAGATGCACATTGAAGCACAGAGGTCTGATGAGAAATAAGACTCGTGAATCTAAATTTCTTGGGAGTGGCTGGCTAGAGGTGTAAACATGGGAGTTGTCAGCAGGCAGGCTTTGGAGCAAGACCACCAGAGGAAGGAGGTGGATAGAGAAGGGGTCCTAGGACTGAGTCGTGGAATGCTCCAGGGATTCCAGCTTGGAGACTGAGTTGATCCTTACCAGACATTGCTGAATGCCACGGCATGCCAGGCACTGGGCCAGTTGCTGGAGATATAGGTGAGAAGGATCAAAAAACCCATGCTGTCACGGACCTGCGGCCAAGTGAGGAGACACAGGGAACAAGGAAAGCACGTGTTTCGTCAGGCAGCCTTGTGGGCTCTGGAGGAGATGAAGTGAGGGGAACAGGACACTCAGGTGGGGCTGCTGGCCACTTTCTCAGGGACGGTAAAGAGGCCTTGGTGAGAAGACCGTTCTCTCCTAGAGAAGGAACTGGCACGGGTGCCCGAAAAAGAGCCCCCGTGAAGTAAGAGAAGAGCCAACAGAAGGTGATGCCCTGGAAACCAGGTGACAAAAATCAAGATGGAAGAAGTAATCTGCCAGAAGTAATCTGACCCAGTAATCTGACCGCTGGGTCACCACAGTGGTGACCTTGACAAAGCTATTCTGGAGGAGTGGTGGGAAAGAACTGCAGCCCCCGTCACCTGGGGGAGAGGTACCACCCAGCCTTGGAGCTAAACCTTCTGAGACCAAGCCAGTTCTCAGACCTGTTTCAAATGCCACCTCTTCCAGGAAGTCCCCAGGTATTAGAACCTCCCATGTTTGTATTTTGCCCCATCCCCCAGATGGGAAAGAGGTGCACCCACAAAGGATTAAAAGCTCTGAGCTGCCAGACTCACAAGGATCTGAGCCTGCATCCTTTGCTAAGCTGAGAACGGTTCCCACCCTGTCAAATATTATGATCCCATGTGCAGAGAGAATGGTGCTGGGTCCACCCTTGGGGGTGGACAAGGTCACTGCTGCCAAGGATTTGGGGGGAGGGGCCTCTTGACGGGGCCCCAACGAGTGGAGGACCAGGCCTGGGTGCCCTTTGCTGACCCAGAGCTCATCGAGCATCTCCTCCCTTGCATGCCAGGCCCTGCAGGAGAATAAGATGACAAAGTTTGCTGTTCTTGTCTTTGAGGAAGTGAGCACTGTTAGAAGTCAGATGTGGATATAGTCAACTGCCAAGGGTGGGTGGTTGGAAAGGCTTCACAGGGCCGAGGATTTGAACAGGACCATGAAAGAAGTCAAGGAGTTTGCCAGACTGACGGGGTGGCCTGAACAGGTGTGCCCAGACCGGGCCATGCTGGAATGCAGTCTTTGGAAAAACCTGTTGGACCTGTGGTCGGAGACTGGATTGGGCTAGCGGGATGTGGTGGCATGTCAGCTGTGTTTATTGTGGCTAGTGTCTTGTGGGCTCCAGAGCGGGGAGAAAAGAGACACTAGGTGGGAAAGGTCCTTCCTTGCACATGCCACCAAGCTTGGGGAACCCTGTTCTCTCTTGCTGGTGTGGGCACCTCTACTGATAACACCTTCCCCCTCCTCTCCTCCTTAGTGGCCCAGCAGGAAAAGACCCCACCGCCCAGGCCCAGCCTGCTGGAGGCGGGCAGTGATGGCTCTGAGGAGCCCAAGCAGCAGGTGTCTTGGGAGCAGGAGTTTCTGGTGGGGAACAGCCCGGGAGGCAGTGGGCGGGCGCTGTGCATGGTGTGTGGGGCCGAGATCCAGGCCCCCTCGGCAGACACGGCACGCGCCCACATCCTGGAGCAGCATCCTCACACCCTGGACTTGAGCCCTTCTGAGAAGAGCAACATCCTGGAGGCCTGGAGCGAGGGGGCGGCCCTTGTGCAAGACTTCCGAGCGGAGCAGACGTCCCCACACCACTCAGGTAGTGGGGGCAGAGGTGGGGGCGGAGGGGAGAGTTGGAGTTTGTGGTTGATCACTGGCATCTGCCCGCTTCAGACTCAGGCCAGGACTCCGACCCGGACCCTGCCAGAATGCCAGCAGAGATCGTCGTTCTCCTCGACTCCGAGGACAACCCATCCCTCCCCAGGAGGACCCGGCCCAGGGGACTTCGCCCTCTGGAACTTCCCGGTCAGTCATCCCAAAGCCAGTGAGGCCAAGTTGGGGTGAGGGTGTCATGAGCCCCGTGAGCTGGGTGGAGACAGGCTGCTCGGCAGGTACACTGCAGCTCCGAGATTGCGGGAGTCAGGCCTCTTAAAAAGCTCTTATCTTTTGCAGTGACCCCTGTCCCAGAGCCAGTAATCAAGAAGCCCCGTGGTCAGAGATGCAAGGAGCCCTCTGGGGAAGAGCCGGTCAGGAAGAAAAGAGGCAGGCCTATGACCAAAACCCTGGACCTAGACCCAGACCCTGACCCAGGTGAAGGAGCAAGTGTGGGCTCCAGGGGGAAGCTGGGGCTGGAGGGGTCAGGATGGGGTGGCAGGGGTCACCTGCACCTCAGCCGAGGCCCACAGTTTGATCCTGTCCTTCCTTCAGACCCCCCCTCACCAGACTCGCCCACGGAGACCTTCGCTGCTCCTGCCGAGGTCCGGCACTTCACGGACGGCAGCTTCCCGGCCGGCTTCGCCCTCCAGCTCTTCTCCCACACCCAGCTCAGGGCCTCAGACCGCAGAGACTTGCCCAAAGAGGGGAGAGGGGCCGAAGGAGGCCTCCTCCAGCCAGAAAGCCCCTCCCCAGGTGAGCACCTGAGCAGGGGCGGCAGGTGTGCAGTGTTGGGGAGGCCACGTCCCCGGGTGGCTGGGCTGAGGGCAGGCAGCCGGCCCGAGAGCTGAGGTTTGGGCACGCTCCTTGGGAGCATCCTGGTCATTAGGTTGAGTTAGGCCAGAGTTCCCCAAAGCCCGACATCCGTCACCACACTCACGGTTGATTCCAGCTAGAGCCTGAGATGCCCACCAGGGGCCTAAATGGGACTGATAACAGGAGACGGGGGTCAACACTCCACAGACCCTCAGCTCAGGGTATGTCTGGTGATAGCAGTGAGCACTTGTGTTTATATCATGTTCTCTGATTTTAAGAAAATTTTATATGTAGCTCATTTGGCGCTTATAAAAGTGTCTTTTTCTGAACGGACAGGCCAAGTCTCGGAGAGGGGGTTCCTTTTCCACGTCCATGTGTTCCCTTCCTATGGCTGCTGTAACAGATTGCCGCAAACTCAGTGACTGACAACAGCACAGATACACTGCCTTTTAGTCCAGGAGGCCAGAGGCCTGGTACGGGAGGTGTCAGCGGGCTATAGGCAGGGTGTCGGCAGGGCCAGTTCTTTTCTGCCTCCTAAAGAGGGAGTCTTGCCTCTTCCAGCCTCTCGCGGCTGCTTGTATTCCTCAGCTTGTGCTCGCCTTCCGTCTTCAGAGCCAGCCGTGGCCAGGCTTTCTTGGGATACCATCTTTGGTTCTGGCCCTTCGACCTCCTCTTTCCGCTTTAAGAACCTTTGTGGTTACACTGAGCCCATCTGGATCATCCAAGCCTCCATTTAATTTTAAAGTTGGTTGATTTAACAACGTCAGTTCCTTCTGTAGCCTTAATTCTCCCCACCGTGAGCATAGCATATTCACGGCCCTGGGGGTTAGGACGTGGACATCTCTGGGGGACTGGTGCTCTTGCTAGGACAGTCACCTAACGCAGCAGTAGCAGAATTGAGCTGACACTGGTCTGTTCCAGTGGGGCACCAGCTGAGCCTGGTTCCTCTCTCTCCATCTCGCCAGGCCAGGCCCTGCTCGCAGCATCTTGGGTGCAGAAAGTGGTTCTTGGGTGCAGAAAGTGGTTCTTGAAGGAGTGAATGTGGTACAGAGTACCTTGTCCCGGCCTGCCTGAAGCAGGCGCGTGGAGTTGGAGCCCTGAGAAAGATGGTACACCGGGTGCTGGGGGCTCCCCGCAGCAGGGCTCCCGAAAAGGAGGTGTGCCTTTTGCATAAGAAAAAGCCTCACTTCCCTTCAGCCCACGTCGCTCACTGACCACTGTCAAAAATTTGGCTTGTATCCGTCCAACCTCTCACAAAGCTCTGTGTGCAAATAGATCCCCATATTCTCCCATCTATTTATTTTTTACCCAAAGGGGCTCTGCTTTATCCAATCTGAAGGCGGGCCTCACCCCTGTGAGGTTTTAACTGTCTCAGGTTTCAGCTTGAGTCACCTTGCAGTCCTGCCTCCCCAGGACCGCGCTGTGCCTAGACTTGTGTGTTTCCTGGTCCCCCTCGTATTGTCAGCGGACCCCTGCTGTACATAGCTGACCTTTCCCACTGGCTGGTGGGTCTTCTGGTTTCATTCTAGAAGGCAGGGGCTTCATTTCGAGCCTGGGGGTACCCTGTGCCCAAACTCCACCTGTCTGGAGTGACCAGTAGCTGAGAAGAGCATCCTTGAGGTCTCAGGTTCGTTTGGGGTGAGTGGGCAGAGCCTGAGATTTTGGGGTTCAGCTGTCTGAATGATTTGAAAGGGAAGGAGGCGCTGAGCCATGTTCTGGCAGCGGCAGGGACCTGTAGAGGTTCTGGACAGTCCAGAAAGCGCAGGAGATGGCAAGAGACATGGCAGTATGTGTGCCTGCAGCCTGACCCAGGAAGCCCTGAGAAATGACACAAGTGGCCAAGCTTTGGCCCCAGGAGACGCCCAGTCTTCTGAGGGGCCCACGCCAGCACATAACAGACGCGTAGGGTGCCCACGGTGGTTCTGAGCACAGCATGGCTCCAGACTAGTGACTGCAGACCGGTTCTGGGTTTTAAGAACCCAGAGCTCAGATTTCTCAGAAACATGTGAGGCTTCAACCAGAATGTTCTACTTTGAGTTGTTTAATTTTTTTGAAGTTCTCCAAAGGTCTTGGTGGACTGGAGAGCCTACCATTTTAAAAAAGAAAATTAAAAATCAAGGATTTAGAAGTTGGGAGTTGGCAGGAAGTCACTGGTCAGCTGAACTGGTGGCCATGTGTGTAAAGCTGTCAGGGAAGGTTTGCTGGACATTCCGGGGCCTTGGAGGATGAGGGCGTCAAGGCCAGGAGCGGCGGTGAGCCCTGAGGGCCCACTTGCAAGTAGTGGAGAGAAGCCTTCCTGGTGTTCAATTAGAATAAGACCTGGAGATCTGGCTTAGAATACCTCAGCTAGACCAGTGTGTTCCCAACTGGACCAAGGAGAAGAAAGTGTGTGTATGTGTGAGAGAGAGAGAGAGACTGGACCAAGGGGAAAACAGGGTGTGTGTGTGTGTGACTGGACCAAGGAGAAGAGTGTGTCTGTGTGTACCAAGGAGAAGAAAGGTGTGTGTGTGTGTGTGTGTGTGTGTGTGTGTGAGAGAGAGAGAGACTGGACCAAGGAAAAGATGGGGGGTGGTGTGTGTGTGAGTGACTGGACCAAGGAGAAGAAAGTGTGTGTGTGAGAGAGAGAGTGGGAGAGAGACTGGACCAAGGAAAAGACAGGGTGTGTGTGTGTGAGAGAGAGAGACTGGACCAAGGAGGAGACAGGGTGTGTGTGTGTGTGTGTGTGTGTGTGTGTGTGTGTGTGAGAGAGAGAGAGACTGGACCAAGGAAAAGATGGGGGGTGGTGTGTGTGTGAGTGACTGGACCAAGGAGAAGAAAGTGTGTGTGTGTGAGAGGGAGAGAGACTGGACCAAGGAAAAGACAGGGTGTGTGTGTGTGTGACAGAGACTGGACCAAGGAAAAGACGGGGTGTGTGTGTGTGTGTGTGAATGGACCAAGGAGAAGAAAGTGTGTGTGTGTGCGTGACTGGACCAAGGAGAAGAAAGTGTGTGTGTATGTGAGAGAGAGACTGAACCAAAGAGAAGACAAGGGGTGTGTGTGTGTGTATGATTGAACCAAGAAGAAGACAGTGTGTGTAAGAAAGACAGACTGGACCAAGGAGAAAACAGGGTGTGTGTGTGTGACTGGACCAAGGAGAAGATGGGGGGGGTGTGTTACTGGACCAAGGAGAAGATGGGGGGGGGTGTGTGACTGGACCAAGGAGAAGAATGTGTGTGTGAGAGAGAGAGACTGGATCAAAGAGAAGACAAGGGGGGGTTGTGTGTGTGTGTATGATTGAACCAAGAAGAAGACAGTGTGTGTGAGAGAGAGAGACTGGACCAAGGAGAAGATGGCGGGGTGTGTGTGTGTGTGTGTGTGTGTGTGTGTGTGAGTTTCATGAGTGGCAGGCTTTGTTCACTGCTGTGTCCTCTGCACCTGGAACAGGGCATGCACAAAGAAAGCCCTTGGAAAAGATTTACTGACAGATGAGTGGATGGCAACTGCTTTCACTTGTCACTCTGGTGGTGACATTTACAGAGTCTCTGCTCAGAGATGAGTCTTAGTGAAAAATGAGAGATGGGTCCCAGCCACCCCCTGGAGGAGGTGCTCACATTTGCGCACATATGCACAAGTGTGGAGGAAGAGAAGGGGGCTGAAGCTGGGGGAGCAGAGGGATTTGGGCCAGGCCAGGAGGCAAGTGGGGGCGGTTCTGGGCTTGGGGTGCTGAGCCCCCGTTTTACAGAAAAGGAAACTGAGCCTCGGGCAGCCCGTGTGTGTTTCGCCCTGCAGCACCCAGCCTGCCGTGAGGGCCAGGGATCAAGTCTCCTCTGTTGGACCACGAGCTATTCTTTCCTTCAGGTCTTCCCCATCAGCTTACATAGAGATGTTATTTCTCCCTTCTTAACCCTCATCCATCATAGCCTCTGTCACATTTGTCCCCAAACCTTTTCAGCAAAGCTGGAGAGCTTTTCTCTACCATCTCCAGTCTGTCTTTTGGAAGTCACTAGATTCAAACTCATGCTTACCACCTACATGTCTTTTTTGGCAAGGTTGCCACTGACGTCCATAAGATTAGACCCAGTGGTCAGTCCCTGTCTTCCTTATCCGGCAGAAACAAGGAGCCTGTCCCGCCCTCCTTCCTGGAGGCTCATGCTGCCCTTGGCCTCTCTGGCTGCACCGTGAGGGGGTTGCCCCTGCCTCTCTTGCTGTTTGCTTCCAGCTCTCAAAGTTGGATCATATGGTGGTTTTACTTCCTGTTTCTAGAGTATTATGCTTCCTTGGGTCTGGAAGTTTGCCTGTTTCATTCACAGTAATATCCCCAGTGCTCAGCGCAGAATGGGTGCTGTCTGTGTATTTGGCAAATGAATGAATGACCCAGCTGTTAGTCAGGATCTGTACCCACACCCTGGGTGATCCCAGACTCGAAGCTTGTCATGGTTCCACCTTCCCTTCTGCCTTGGGCCTGTCCCTTCGGTTTCAGCCTCTCTCTTGTGTAGTTGATGTGTCTGGTTGGTTGTATAAAAGATCCCCCAAACTCGGTGTTTCTGACAGTGTTTCTGAATGGAACCCCCAGTCTCGTCCCCTTACCCCAGCCTCTTTACTCCCACCTCCCCGTGCTTCACTTCCCTGGGAAGCTGGCTACCACATTCTTCAGCTTGCCTGGACCAAAGCCTCAGAGTCATCTATCTCTCTCAGACCCCACTTGAGTCTGTCAGCAAATCCCGTTAGCCCCACCTCCAGGATGCTCAGGTTTGACACACACACAAACTGCGTCACTATCTCTACTGCTGCTGCCTTCATCCATGGTTCCTTAACAGCCTGTCTCCTGGCTTCTGACCAGTGCACACTGGGTCAGTCTCCTACAGCAGCCAGAGCCGCTGTTGAAAACACAACGGGATCCTAGCACTGCTGCTCAGAGCCCCTCAGCACCGTCACTGTCACATTCCAGAGAAAAGCCAGAGTCCTCGGGGGCCTGGTGGTCCTCACCTTCCCCGCTCACCAGGGCATCCGCATGTCCTCTTCCTCCCCCAGGAATGCTGTTCCCCAGCTCGACAGTGTGGACTCCTCACTTCCTGTACACCTTTGCTCACGGGTCACCTCCCGGTCACCTCTGTGAAACCCTCCTGTCCCCTTCTCTGGTGTGCTTTTTCACTTTGCTTCCATCCATGTGTATCACATTGCATTTTTGATTTGTTTGTCCTGTTGATTGGCTCTCACCACTGGAACATAAGTTCCAGGAAGGCCACTTAGTGTGCCCCGTGTCCTGGGGAACCCCCAGCAGCTAGACTAGCGTGGGGCACAGTGTGGTTGCCCGGTAAGTTACTGTTGAATTAAAGAGCCCCGCGAGTGGGCCCCACGTGTCCTCAAGGAGTGTAGAGTGTGTCAGGAAGACAAACCAGCTCATGTGAATACAAAGCAGAGTTTGTTCAGTTGCACAACCCAGTGGCAGCCATTGAGTCATTTTACATCCCAGCAAATGGTACAGCGAAATTGTACCCATTTTCCCTGCCAAATCACTAAGTCTCTGGAAACAGTAAAGGCAATAACCACAAGTAACAGACACCACAACAGTTGCAGTCACTATTTTATGTTTTCTGGTTTTGCTTTTTGATGTAACTTTTGGACCTGCTTGTGCAGTGCGCTGGGTGGGGTTGCTTCCTGACGGGGCTGTCAGCAGTCCGCTTTCCCATCTTGAGATCCGATTTTGCCTGTTGTGAGTAGCTTCATGCTGATCATGTGGGCACGTGACCCCTGCATGGTCAGTACTGACTCGGGAGGTAAAGAGCCTGGTCGGGGTTGCAAAGCAGAGCTGGATGTTAACCCCAGGACCCTCCGTGCAGCGCTCCCTCCTCCTCCCTGCATATTCACCAGGGCAGAGCCCTGTTTCTCTTTCCTTTGGGGTGTTCTCCATGCCACCACCTCTGCCCATGCAGGGCAGAGCCCATCAGGCTAGGATGCCCAGTAAGTTTTAGGTGAAACAGAATCAGCTGGAGATAGAGAGGTGAGGGGAGCGGAGGAGAGCACCAAGCATCCATGTGTGGAATACACACAGGAGGGCGTCTGCAGAGGGCCGGTGGCTGATGCCCCGGAGGCGTGATGCCCCCGTGGTCAGCGCTGGTCCTCGGGTGAACCAGGAGCGAGGCCTCCCACTGTCCCTGGGCTTCCCCTCTGACTGCAGGTCCAGAGCTGTGGAATGGAAGGCCTGGAAAGGGGGGTGTGGTTTAGAGACCTTCCAGGAACATCCCTGAGCCGGATAGTCTGGAGGGCCCTGACTCTGCTCTCTGCCCTCACCCCTGCCCAGCTCCCCCTCCGGGGCTTCGCGGGACACTGGATCTCCAGGTCATCCGCGTGCGACTGGAGGAGCCCCCAGCAGTCAGCCTTCTGCAAGACTGGTCCAAGCACCCCCAGGGGGCCAAGGGAGTGGGAGCAGGTGACGCCCCAGACTGGCCCGCGGTGCTGTCGGAATCCAGCAGCACTGTGGGGGCGCAGCCAGAGGCGGGGAGTGGCCTGTAGGTTCTTGTTTTTCTGGGGTGGGAGGGAGGGAGGGAGGAGGCAGTGTCCCCCTTGGGCTCATCACGCAGAGCCCCCCAGCTCGGCCGCCTGATAGAGTAGAACCAGGTGCCAAAGCAGGATGGAGGAGAGGAAGGTGGGTAGCATCTGCCATGACTTGGGGCGCTGGGAAAACGTCTCCTGGGGGCGAGGCGGGGGACCGCCCATGGCTGTCGTGTGGTAGGGCATTGGGCCTGTGGAGAACACCTACCCGATCCTTTTGCTGACCCCGACCTCTACTGTCCCCCTGACCTCCTCCCGCCCTCTCAGCCCCCCCCATTCTCCCTCGGCACAGTGCCTTACACAGGAGGTGGTTGTGAACTGAGCCCCACTACCTCGGGGGACGCCTCCCCTCCCCTCTGCGCAGGCCCCCAGAGCAGGAGGCCTCCATTACCTCTTCCCGCTCCATCCCCACAGGTGGCCGACTGGTCACTCACTCTCTTGTTCACCTCTTTTCCTGTTGTATATATCTCCTTTGTTGACAATAAATTATTTTTTTTTATGAAGAGAGTTCTGTCTGGGCCATCATTGGGGGGAGGGGTTTGCTAGCCATCTGTCCAGCCCCCTAGAGCGACCCTGAGAAGCAGGAGAGCTGAGAGGGGGTCCCGGGTGTGGGCCAGAAGCTGCGGCTGGGAGGCTGGCGCTGGCACAGGGTGGGGGCAGGCCTTGTGAGATGGACGCCTCAGCCCCTCTCCTCACCCTTACCCTCCAGATGGGGTCAGGAGCGCCTTTTACACATACCTTCTGACTCACTTGGTGAATCTCCGTTGGAAACAGGCCACTCTGGTGCACCAGGGAGGAGCTGAGACCTAAGGTCATCTTTCCAGAGTGCCCTGGCTGTGGCCAGCGTGCAGGGGCACCGATGCCTCCCCCCGACCCCGCCCCAGGACAGGAAGAAAGGCAAGCAGGCCGCCTCCAACCGTTCAGCCTCGCGGTCAGCCCCCATCTCCGCTTAATTACAGCGAGCCTTTGCCTGGTTTTCAGGTTCCCTGAACCAGGAGATAATCCACTTTGGATCTCTTCCCCACATTCCTTAAGCCCTTCCCTCCTAAACTACCGTCACCAGCCAAACCTGCATAGGGTTGTGTTCTTCCTCTCTGGTGATGGGGCTCTCAAGAGAGGCACAGAGAGCTCTCCGATCCCTAACTTGACTGTTCCATGTAGAATCCAGGGGTGGATGGGAGAATAGGGCCGTCCACCCTCGGCCCCGGCTCCACTGTTTCTGACGGGTCTCACACAACACAGCCCAGCAGGTTCTGAGACTGAACAGAAAGCTGGTCCCTAAACCAGGGGGAGTCGGCTGAGCAGGCGGTGCTGGTCTGTCTGAGCTGATGTCGCCCGTGCGCCCAACCAGCTGTGGTTGGCTCATGGGGTGTGGCCCTTTCTCCCCATCTGATGAGCTCGGGAGAAAGACTGAGGATGTCAGGGGCCCTTTTCCAGAGGAGACCAGATGTGTGGTGTGATGGAGGAAAACCGAGCAAGGATTCAGGACCCCTTGTGTCTCGGGCGACTCCACCAGTGCATGAGGGCCACGGAACTCCCCTGTGTCTCTCCCACTATTTCTGCAAATTGGCAGAACTTGTATCCTACCAAATAGGAAGGAATAAATAATGCTGACAGTCTGGTTCTGAAACACAGATTATGAATTATTGCAGGTGGTTGCTGTCTGTCTTTTCAATGGTGTGACTGTTTACATTTATGCCAATGTGCTTTTAAAACAACGTGGTTATGTTGTTGGGTGTTGACAATTGGGAGAACTTAGAAAAGTTCAGTGTACAATTGTGAAGCTACATGCGTCTTTGCAGCTGTTAATTACGATGGAAGGTTTCGCCCGTGAGCTCCTCCTGGGCGAGGGCTGGATTGCATTGACTTCATCTTCTCAGTGGCCTGCATAGGGCCTGGCGCAGAGTAGGTGCTCAATAAATGTTTATGAAGTGCTCTATTGGTGTGTTCCTTTGCGACATTTGTCTTGTGTGGGCTGGTCCTCGGAATGTGGTCCTCTGCTCTCATGAGGGAGCTGGCGGAGTAACTGCTGGTGGTGTGGTTTTTCCGTGGCTTAACCCCCACATCTCCGGTGGCAGGGATCTGCCCAGCCTCAGCCGGGACCCCAGGGACTCTATGAGCTGGTGTGGCTGGAAGCTGCCGGTGGGCACCTCTGGGCTTCCAGGGAGAGGCAGAGTGGAGCCCGGGGCATGGCTTCACCCAGAGTGAAGAAGAAGGTTTCTGAACACCCGTGAAGGATTGCTTGGGGTCCACCACCTGGGCCAGAGTCACCATCCTAGAGCCTGCGACACCAAGAAAGCCTCCCTTGCAAATATTAGTGACCCAGAGGCTGATGGTGGCAGCTTTCTCCAGGTTCGATGCTGAAGTCCAGCCACAACCAAGTGAAGAATCAGGACAAGGGTGCCGCCACCCAACCCCCTGACCCGTGACCCTAGACCCCAGTACTCCTTTGCGCTCTGAAGTCGGCCACCTACCACCCTTCACAACTGCCTTCCTTGGGGTCCAGGTCAGGGAGCTCTTTTTGGAGACCTGTGGGCAGAGCCAGACCAAGAGAAGGGAAGAAGCACTCACTTCTTCCCTTGAAGAGAAGCTGAGCTGTGGATGGACAATGGGGGTCACTGGCTGGGCACCTCTGTAGCCCCCAGTTCCATCATGGCTCTGGTCCAGATTGTGGCTCCTGCAACCTGACCCCTCCTTTTCCAGTGTCCCCCACCCCAGCTTTCTCACGCATGCGCACACGCACATGCACGGCCAGGCTGCAATCTGGCTCAAATGAGACTGCCTTCCGGCCCTCAGTGAACTGGGAAGTCCTGCACACCCCGGGGTGTGGGGAGGTCTGGAGTGGGAGAGCCTCTCTGAGGGGATCGCAGCCTCTCTCTGTGTGTCCCCCGAGCCAGTCTGTTGTGGGGGGCACCCAGCTGACCCCGGGGCAGGATGGGAGCTGCCGTTGCAGGTGCGCTGACAGGTAAGGTGACCCCACCGCAGTCTGTGTGTCTGTTACCCACCTCCCTGGAACTGGTTGCCTTCACACCACTGAATCCAGCCAGTCCCTTTATGACCTCTTTCCATGGTCAGAGCTCACCCGCCTCCAGACAGGAAGCAAAGTCACCATTTTGGGCCTCCCCAACACCAGCAACAAAGCCTCTGGCCTCAGGCCCCACCTCTAGGAGGCCTGCGGCAGCGGGAGCAGCACGGAGCCGGACCAGGCCAAGCACCCTGCAGGGTCAGACTGCACAGCCACGAATGAAGGCCCCGGGCAGCCCCGGTGCCCGGAACTGCGGGGGTGGGCAGGACACCGCCCTGGTCCCCAGGGTGAGTCACCTCATGCTGTGCCTGTGATACAGATGAGGAAACAGGTGCCTCCAGCTACACATGGTACCTCGCCTGCCACCCCAGAGCAATTACAGCAGCAGCAGCTGGCCGAGCCCAGGTCTGTCTGACCACAGAGCTGCTGTCTCTGGCACCCCGTGGCCTGTCTTCCCTCCAGAGAGCCTGGGGACCCTCAGTAGGTTTGGGGCGGGAGTGAACTCAGGAATCAGGAAGCGCATTCAAAACGACAAGCACTCACACCATTTAGTTTCATTTATTTACTTATTTTCGACTGTACCATCTTCATTTCCATGAGGGCTTTTCTCTGGTTGTGGTGCACGGGCTACTCATCGCAGTGCTTGTCTTGTGGAGCGTGGGCTCTAGGGCACTAGTCTCAGCAATTGTGGCTCCCGGGCCCTAGAGCACAGGCCCTGTAGTTGCAGCACACACGGGCTTAGTTGCTCCGAGGCACGTGGGCCTTCCCAGACCAGGGATCAAACCTGCGTCCCCTGCATTGGCAGGCAGATTCTTTACCACTGAGCTACCGGGGAAGCCCACTCATACCTCCTTTGCTCCAGGACCGTGATCGTGGTGCCCAGGGCCCTGGTCGTGCCAACTCCCAGAGGCCCCAGGCCCTGGCCCCTGCTAGGAGCATGCCCTGTGCATGGCAGTGCCCACTGGAGGGGCTCACCACAATGAGGGGTGCTCATCACACCTGTCTCCGGCAATGATGTCTGGGGACCAAGCTGAAGGATTTGAGAGTGTGGGGAGTCTTGTTCCTCACCGACCTCTTTCTCCTGAAAGGGGCCTGGGCTCCTGGGTGGGTCCTGCCTACTGCCCTGGCCTCACTCTGACCTCTGACCCTGGCTCAGGCTGGGCGTGGTATTTGGAGGCTATAAAAGCAGTGACAGGATGTGATGTCCACATGAGCTGGGGCTGCCCTAGGGGACAGGGCATAAGGAGGGGCTTCTCCTTTCCAGACTCTGCCCTGACCCCTCTGCTCCTTCTCTCTGATCTGACCACTTGCCCACCCACATCCTCCTGCGTAAGCGGTTGGCCTTGGAGAGACTAGTCCTCCAAGGTCAAGATCACTGCACTCTTCAGAGCTCAGGCTCAAGGCGCCACTCCGACCCGGGGCCACAGCTGTCAGCTGGAAGCGAGGTGTTCGCTGTTCAGGTGTTTTGAATATAGTCATGAACAAGAGACAGTGCTGCAGCTGTCCCCACACCCTGGACGGCAAACTCAGAATTCTCCGGGTGTCCAGCAGGGATGAGCACCGGGTGAAGGGCACTATTGTTTTCTCTTTTCTTTCATGATCATGGACAGCGTTCTTTTTCCTCACCTCTCAGTTTGTGGGATCTTAGTTCCCCAACCAGGGATCAAGTCCAGTGAAAGCATAGACTCCTAACCACTGGACCACCAGGGAATTCCCGATCACAGACATTTTCACACCCACCCAAAAGGAGAGAGAGAGGGAATAATGAACTGTGAAGTATCCATGACCCAGTTTCAACAAATATGGCCAGTTTTGGTTTATCTTTATTTTCTCCTCCTTTCCAGATTATTTAAAAGCAAGTCTCAGCAGTTCCCTGGTAGCACAGTGGTCAAGAATCCTCCTGCCGGCGCAGGGGACACAGGTTCCATCCCTGGTC